AGATTGTAAGGGAAGGAAGTGAAACACGTTTATAATGAAGATGTGATAAGATTAAGGGATGATAAGAAAGGGGTTGAAAATATAAACAAGGGGTGGTGTAGAAGTCTTTAGTTGGTTATGTCTTAATAGGCCAAGCAAGGGAGGGATAATGGCTGTACGAACTTCCTTAGTTTAGGTTTAATAGTTCGAATGCCTATCGCCTGCCTCAGCTGTGTGCAGTAGACGAATACGAAGTCTATTAGAAAGATTCGGTGGGATACGATGAATTACTTTGAAAGCTCTCGTTTTATCGACTACATGACCACCATCAATTAAATGTGACAGAATTGAGCTACGGATTGTTTTTGTCTGTCCTTTGCCAAACCACCACGATGGGAGATGTTCACTAACACGTTGGCTAAGCTGGTACAGTTGAATTGATAAATACACATAGATGTGGCAAAACTGTCAAGCTTATCCTTCGTTTGCGTCCCAATGATTCGTCGGCTGGAGAATGACAAACATAGGTGTGCTGCGTAAAATGTTCTACGTATACTCCTTGAAAGTCTTTGGAATAGAATCTCACTAGATAAGTCACCATTAAATTGTAACTTAATAAAGAGAGGTTTCTTACGTGCAGTCAGAGTCTCAGGTTTTTTCTCTAGTGTTTTCATATGTTTCTTTATGAAACTACTCGGATAGCTCATCTCCGTCAAGGAATCGTGAATATATTCAAATTCCTTTTGCAAGAAGTCATCCGTGCATATCTTTCTCGCTCTGCTCGCGAGACATTTTACAACATTCCTTTTATATTTAATGGGCACGTAACTAAGGAAGTGTGTGAAAGTGCTTTTTCTGTACACACTTCTCCCAAGTGACCCATCTTCTCTCCTACTTAGCAAGACATCCAGGAAATGTACTTTATTCTCATGCTCCTCTTCACAAGTAAAGGTAAGCGAAGGATGGATGTTGTTGAATTTCAGCAACAATTCGTCTATGTTAACATTCTCATCAGCTAAGATAAATGTATCATCGACATATCGGTAATACATATCCACCTCCTTGATGATGTCCTTCAATTTCCCGTTTTCAAGTTTGGAGAGAAAGAAATCAGCTAATATTGGGCCTAATGGTGAACCCATACCTATTCCATCTACTTGTCGATAGTATGAATTATTGAAGACAAAGTGAACGTTCATTGTGCATTTAAGAAGTAATTCTTTGAGGCTACATAAGGGGATTCCTAAGTCTAATTGCCTATCGGTGATTTCTTAACAAATATAATCAACTGTTTCCATAAGCGGTACGTTAGTAAATAGTGATGATACACCCATGGATAATATGAGTTTATACCTCACATTAGTCTCGGATATTTTAGAAATAAAGTCAAAGACATCACTAATTTGATGTTGCACGATTTCTCTGTGCAAAGGACCCAGAATCTTAAATAACCACTTCGCTGTTCCGTGAAATGGAGAGTTATACATATCTAAAACAGAGCGAAGAGGAAGACCCGGTTTGTGCACTTTTGGTAGACCGTAAAGACGTGGAGTATTGGTACCCGTAGGTTCATGGACTCATATTGACTATTTTGTTTACACACTTATTGAGTAAGCGTAATCGTAGACTGTGTGATGTTCAGATACTGTCGTATACATGAGTGCCATGTTCGCCTACTGATTCAGCTGGTTCCATCTTGTAACCTGTGTGGGTTGTTCAATGTAGTTAGGTCTTACCAAGCAGGATCAGACAACACTAACCTACATGGTTGTAGAGTGGAAAGCGAGGTCGATTAAAAGTATTGCAACTAAATATATTTTGTAAACTAACCACTGAGTCTCAAGAGACATTGGGTTTAGAGACCTCTGTAAATTAAGGAGAAGTCTGAACATTCACTTTTCCTTTTATTGAAGTGCATAAGCCACCCACCCACATAGGGAAACACGTCCCATATATATATACAAAAGAAACAGTTGAGGAAATTCCTTCTGTCTTGGTTCTGATTTCAGGTTTCCTATTACATCTCATTTTTCAAATGATTCTTCATTGATTCCCACTCACTGATGTAGACTTATTAATCTGTCTACGTTTTCTGTGACCTTTTGATCAGACCTAAGTGTTCACAAGTATCTATTCGATTGTAACTGATTTATAATGAGAATGATATTCTGGATTGTTTTTATTGTTGTGGATCGGAAGAAAGGCTACTTATTCAAACTACAAAAGAAAGGAAACTTAAGTCAAGGCATTGTGCTTTTGTCTATCCAAAGCAAAATGTCAAGCCAAAGCATCCTGGATGAAAACCTTCGACCGGAACAGGCTGGATTAAGAAGAAACAAGTCTTTCATCGATCAAATCACAACACTACGGATCATCATTGAACAAAGCTTGGAATGGAAGTCACCTCTCCACCTCGCTCAACTTCATTGACTTTGAGAAGGCCTTCGACAGTGCAGCGTCGGTCGAGAGGTTATCTGGAAACTACTTCGCTACTACTGTGGGGTCCCATCGACAATTATACATCTCATCCAACAGTTAGCTGTACGACAATGCTGCGTGACAAGTAATCCACAACGGGAAACTTACGGAATCCTTCGAAGTGAGGACGGGAGTGAGGCAAGCTGGCTGTCTACTATCGCCAATGATCTTCCTGATTGCTGGAAGTAGACTGGATAATGCGACAGACAACGGGAACCAACGAGGGAACAGGCATAAAATGGACTCACACAAAAAGAGACTTGGAGGATGTGGACTTCGCCGATGTGATATATATGTCTGATTTCCTACAAACTGGAAGATATGCAAGTGAAAGGCAACAAGCTGGCAGAAGAAGCATCCAGAGAAGATAGGACTTCACTTCAGGTGAACATAGATAAAACAGAGGTGATGAAGATTCCTGGCCAACACCAACACCAACAGCAACATCAACAACTCTTTTCTAACCTGCAACTATATGAGCTAATAATGCCCTTCGGGGGAGGCGATGGTTAGGCCTGCACACCACGTGACCTAGCCATCTCAATCTATGTAACTTTATAGCCTCGTCGATTGATTTTCCCTCTTTGCCCAACACTCGATGCCTAACGTCAACATTACATACCTTATTAAACCACCTAACGTGAGAAGGAGATCGTAGACATCTATGATCGAAAGCAGTCAACCTTTTCATATCTTCAACTCGTATTGGCCATGTTTCAGAGCCATAGTGTAGGACGGAGCGAACTGCTGAGCAGTACACACGTCCCTTGGTTGATAGCCGAATGTCACGCTTACGCCAGAGATGGTGTAAGTCCACGAAAGAAGCTCGAGCTATTTGGATCCGTGCTGAGATTTCGTCGACAATCAGTCCTTTGGTGCTGATACAACTTCCCAAATAGGTGAAGTGGTCAACATGTTCTATCACTTCACTCCCTTTCACTAAGCTAGGAGTTGATGTAGCCCAGTTTTGTCAATTGACGACATAGCGCGACCCCTAGCCGATGTCTTTGGCGATTATTTGTCCTCACACCCGACCTGCTGCACCCTACTGGTCACCCCTACCTGGTTCTAGTGAGAAGTCGTGACCAGTAGGATGCAGCAGGTCGGGTGTGAGGACAAATAATCGCCAAAGACATCGGCTAGGGGTCGCGCTATGTCGTGAATTGGCAGAAGTTAGAATTCATGGGCCATTGGATCGGGTCCCGGTGGCCTAATGGTCTACGAGCTATCTCGCCTTGTAACCAGAAGGTCCTGGATTCGAACCCCCTGCGGTGGATGCGTACTAATGAAGAGTCCCGAACCAGGACGAAACAGCTTTCCAGTACTCCCAGGCCTTCCAATGGTTCTCTAACTAATGTCAGCTCATGATGAAATCTTGTAAATCATTTGTTAGTCTTTCCATACCAGATGATATACGATTCCCGTACCATCCATGAGCCGGATTTTAATTTGACCTTGAATTATCATCCATTACCTCAGTATCCACAAAATGATAACAAGTTATCAAAGGAAAAAGCTGCAAAGACGTTAGTGCTAATCAGTGTTCAAGTTATGCATATTTAAGCATTATCCATTTTTTATAGAAATAAATAATTTCATAAAACCAACAGTCTACAATTTGATTGACACTTAACTTTAGGTGTTAGTCTTCAGTGTTTAGCTGTGAACTGCTACACCTGAAGACACTAGATCAACGAAATGATAAGCTCTTTAAATGACCAAACCTACTTGAATGTATACGCTTCAAGATATTCTTTGAAAGTCATAGATACTATGATTATTCAACTTTACACTATTTCACACACTACGAGTAATGCTGTGTTGCTATTTACACAAGAAAACGATATTAAGAAAAGCCAAAAAGCGAAACTGTGCACACCACACTTGTGCACGAAACACTCGCTTATCACTAATTATCTTTCTACTGAGTAGTTGAATATTTAAGATTAATGGACTTACTTATATTGGAGACTGAAAAGTCTGTACATATGAAAAAAACAATAAATACAATTTTTTTTGAACAATGAGGTTTTTCGATAATCGCATGATATAACAAAAATATTCATTCAGACATATATAAAACACAAAATAATTGAGCGAAGAATATTCTTTTCGATAAAGTCCTGTTCTGGCTCTACAATTATGTATGCTTATATACATAGAATATTCTAGATTAGTAGTCAATAACAATATTAGTGTTTTTTAAATAATATCGATTTTTTAAGATCAAAATGGAATTACGGTTCATTAAAGATGTTTAAATAATAATAATAATAATAATAATAATAATAATAATAATAATAATAATAATAATAATAATAATAATAATGGATCCCCACAGCCTCAGCAGTATTTAGTAGTCGAATTCTTAAGGCAAAATTGAGATTAGTAGGTAAATGACCCTGAAGGCATAGTTAACGTCAATCTTGTGTTCTGTATCCACAAGATGAGATAGAATAGCGCTATGAATAGATTTTGTTTATCCTTTGCTTAACCACGCAGGGTGATGTTCGGAAATTCGACGAGAAACACACCTAGTTGTACGGCCTATGTAACTGGCTCCACAGGAGCAGTTAAATTGGTAGATACACATGGAAGAGGCGAAATTAGACAATTTGTCTTTTACTCCCGAACGCATAAGAGGAGTGGTTTTGAAGACACACCGTAATTCTTCTTACCGCATTTCTAAGGCGCTGTGTTAGTCTTTTGCTGATGTTGTCCCCAAGGAACTGCATTTGTAAGAATAAGGCCTTCCTTTTTTGGAACTGTTGGTAACTTGGGCTGCTTTGATTTTAGATTCATATTCTTATCAGTAAACTTTTCTGGATAACCATTTTCACTTAGCAACCGTTCAATATTATTAAGTTCCTCATCAAGACAATCATCCGAACAAATTGCTCTTGCTCTGTGAACCAAGCATTTTATCAGATTGCGTTTGTATTTCAAGGGCACGAAGCTGAGAAAATCAGTATACTGACCCGTTGATGTAGGTTTTCTATATACACTTTTTCTTATTGCGCCATCCTCTTTCCTCGTTGGTCGCGTGATATCGTCATATCTAAACATACTGTAAGGGAAGTAGTTGCAGGGATTAATACAACACACTATACCAGAGTTACTAAACGTAATGAGCCCAGCTGCCTGACTTGAACGCACTGATAACCAGACAAAAATCAAAAGACTCAGTTATTTAGCAGGATGCTCTACTGAGGAATATATTTAAGCATAATATAAGTGGTAAGGTAATTAAGGCGGAGGATTCTAAGCCTAATCTGGCTAGTATGGTTGAGCTATGGACCCCAAGAAATGCACGTGTTACCAGCACAGAGTGGAAGCGCCAAACAAAAAGAAAGCACCCAGGCAAGAAGAGATCGCTGGCTCCATTGTGTATGTATGCATTAAAACAAAAACTCAAAATATTTAGGGTTCACTAAAATGCTTTGGTTGAACTCAGGACTTTTCAGCACTCTACTACTACTAAGTTACATACATCCCATTTGTGGCATGATCATACTACACATTTTTTATAAATAATATCACTTAACTATTACGGAGAGAATGGATATGCTGTGTGAACTAGGTTATGGTTATACATTACATTATAAATTGTAGCTAATCAATCATTTAACTGAATGAAACCAACTTCATCAATTGAACAATGACCATCACGATGAACAGGATGTTTCACAACTGTTCATACAATTTCAAATGATATTTAAAAAAAGAATCTAATTCACAAAATATAAACACATAAATGTAGCTAGCATAGTATAGCATAGTATAAAATGTTGTTGACTTTAAGTTCCAGTTATTATTTTCTTCATGTGTACTTTGTGTTCGATTGGTGGTAAATCTGTGCTAATTTATTCTATCGACTCGAGTATCATTTTTTTAAAGGGGGTAAAACGATCAATATTCTGTTTGTTTGAGATTGTGTCTTTAGTTGTTTGATAAACTGTGAACATTGGCGACAAAGACAGATAGACAGGCAGACTGAGAAAGCTCAGATGTGTGCATGAGAATTGAGTATAAGCAAACAGAATGACATGCGAATTTTCAACACAAGTGAACTGTTTAAAGAAAGGTTAAATGAAATTTCAGTTTTATCTGTTAAAATTTCATATATGTGTAAAACTTGGGCACTGTGGTAGTAAGTAATTCCATGTTAGTTCGTTTATTAGAGGTATCACACAGTGAAACAGTATTATTTATTGGATGACACAGTTTCGAACAAAATCTATTATTGTTCATAATCATATCAATTATAATCACACGACTTCGAAACTCGAGTTTCACGGTTTTCTTTGTTCTCTCCTATTTACCGTAGAGGTAGTAGAATTTTCCAGATATCCAACTGGACAGGTGTTGAATCATTTCTATTACATGTATTTGCAGTTGATTCGATAAACAAAGCTTCTGTTATCAATCTCTCCCTCCACCTGGTTGTTACCTTAGATTTTAAAACTGTCATCCTATCCCATCCTATTGTATGGTTGTGTGTGACTGCATGTAGTGCTATAGCTGAACTATTCTCCAGATTTCTTATCTTATTCAGATCAACCAATCTACATTTTGCTAGGTTTTATGTTCGGCTAGTCTCACTGACTCCCCCTGTTCTACTAGTTTGACCTATGTATTTGACCTGACAGTCATCGCAGGCAGGGTATTAGATAAACTAAATTGTTTTGTTTTATTGGCTCCGCAGGATTGATCCTTTAATCGACAAGGCTTGTTTCTAATTGAGGTTGTGAGTGGTATGAATGTCAGCCACTTTTAAAATCTAATGTAACAACCAGGTGGAGGGAGAGATTGATAACAGAAGCTTTGTTTATCGAATCAACTGCAAATACATGTAATAGAAATGATTCAACACCTGACCAGTTGGATATCTGGAAAATTCTACTACCCTTACGGCAAATAGGAAAGAACAAAGAAAACCGTGAAACTCGAGTTTCGAAGTCGTGTGATTATAATTGATATGATTATGAACAATAATAGATTTTGTTCGAAACTGTGTCATCCAATAAATAATACTGTTTCACTGTGTGATACCTCTAATAAACAAACTAATATCGAATTACTGTTAAAATTTCATCACTTTGTAATATCGCATGAACAAGGAGTGAGTATTAAATGAGTGTATATTTCCATTTTGTGGTTGGTGAGATGTTAGCATAGAATGTTCACTCTTGGATTTCAAAGTGAATTGTAAAGCACTGCAACCAATATATTCGTAACAGAATCCCATTAGATATTGACTTGATAAAGGCAATGAAAACGTGAGAATACTCAAATGAATCCCTTGAATCTTATAGATTAGAATGTCCTTTGCTTTATTGATAAAAGGAGTACTGTCAGATATGAACATTATTTAGGACATGTAGATTTTTTAATAATAATAATTTTTTTATTCTTAAAACAGTATTTATAATACAGAATGGAATTCTCAGTATTTGTCACAATATTACATCTGATTTAATTAAAATATAAATAAAATTAAAAATTAAAAGAAAAGTAACCAGAAGAATTTGTCCATGTTTACGATATAAAGTCAAAAATATTCGAAGCAAAAATTGAGATTATTAACTATAATAATTAATAGTTGTAACACAGCTTAAATTATGTTCACACTTATGAAAAAAAATAAACAAACACAAAAAAACTGAGAGGATTATAAATATAAGAAATACAATAACAATAAAGTTTAGTACTGTAAGGGTGGAAGAAACGGTTTATTTAGAAGTGCAAAGAAGGTTAATTAGTTCATGCCTGACACTATTTTCATCACATAAAATACGTGCCAAATATGTTATAGTGGAATTTTTATACTTAGACGTACGTGCATAAAGTCTTCTGAAAAGACTTTTTGTTTTACCTGAGGAGACACAAGGTTGGAGCTGAGGGTAGAGTTGGTGCTCAGGGTCTGACAAAATTCCTTTAGCAAATTTGTTGCATGACATCAAGTGCCTATCAGTGATAATGTCGACGATATGGCACAATAGGATACCATTCGTCCTACTGACAGTCTTCAGAGTTCTACAAAGTATGATATAGTCTTTTTTAAGCAACCCAGGAAAGAATAAGCAAGGGTGAAGAAGTATAGGTAAAATACACGAGTTGACAAACTGTAATAGGAGTGCTTGGGTTATGCCTGAGTGTCTTAACTTCTTAATGTAAAAAGGCAGACGAAATATTCGTTTAGAAATCGCTAAAACATGGGAAAACCAGGATAGGTCAGAAGAAATAATTAATCCAAGATACTTAACTTCAGACCTGGTTTCTATATCAGTATCATCAATTTTGCAAGGGTCATAGGAACCAACAGCTTCATTTAACTGACTTTTGCATCGAAAACTGAGATTAACAGTCTATCATTTGGAAGGATTTAGTTTAAGGCCATTAGAAGAGGACCATTAGCTGACACCTGATAGAAAACTGTTCATCTTAGTACAGTCTAGCTGGGAGTTAACAGACATTGAAATAGTTAGATTGTCGATGTACTGAAGAAAGTTCATTTCATCAGAGTGAGGTAAGTCATGTAAGAAGAAAGAAAACAGAAAATGGGAAAGGGAAGCGCCTTGAGGGACACCAGTCTCAGTAAGCAACGAAGTTGACGACTTTCTTTGACATACAGTGCACTGCCTTCTTCCTGAGAAATAAAAAGGCAGCCATTTGACAACCCAACAGTCAGTTTGAGTTTCATCAAGCTTGTATAACAAAAAAGTCCCTAGGTGCTGATTTGAAAGCAGATTTGTAATCTAGGAAGGTGCAGCAAACAAATTTAGTCCCCTTGTCTAAGTTGGGGACAATGTTATGATACAAGACTGCAGCTGCAGCTAAAGTACTTCTACTGTTTTTATAAGCGAATTGTTTGGGGTCGTTAGAGGTTTTAAGTGAAGGCTGAAGATTAAGTAAGAGTAAATTTTCCATAGCTTTTAGAAAAGGGCAGGTAATAGCAATTTAATTATCACTGAGTAAGATTGTGTTATGCCTTACTCATAACAATACATAGAACCAGTGTAGGATGTGAAGATCTACCGAGAAGGCAGCAAAATATAAAAGAAGAGGTGTTCAACGAAGAGTTAACCCTCTTTTCAGCTATATCAGTAACACGTTGTAAAATCGCATTCATATGGTATATTATCTTAGCAACAAGAGGAGGATTTCCAAAGATGTGTCATTATAATTGCAGATTCTAAGTAACAACTATGTAATACATTATCGTATTACCAAACAGTTAGTGGACCTGATGGAATCAATCCGAAGGCAAGTTTTTTTGCCACTTACACCGAAAACACACTTGATGAGGAAGATAGAAAGTTGACGCAAACTCTGCTTGATAATAATTTTCCAGAGAAGTTTATTAGGAGATATAAAGTGGTCAAAACACCAAGAACCATTCTCCAACTCGTCTCTCAGAAAGACGTTTATGTCAAGCTACCCTATTTGAGTGATCACAGCAGCACGCTAACTCGACAGAGATTGGACGCTGCGTTTAAAAAGACTTTTTTGTGCAGCTAACATCATAATAATTGGGAACATGAAGTCAATATATGCATCTAAGCCCTTTGAACAGGCGAAAAATGATGTCACATCCCACTCTATCTACAAAATAAATGTACTTGTGGTTGCCCATACATAGGGAGTACTCATCGATCTCTGCAAGTAAGGGCTGGCTTCAGAGCATATTCCTAAATGTCTCCAGCAGCAAATAGAATTCCCAGAACTCATGAATGATGAGAACAGGAGACCTAGCTCCTCTTTTTCGAAACATATTATAGAGACAGGACATAAAATTGATGTTTACACATCTTTTAAACCTACCCATAGCATGTGTTTGGGGCGTATCCTAGGGTTTGTGGAAGCCCTAGCAATTAGAAAGTTTAAACTACCTTCATGCGTTCAAAAATAGTTCTTCATCACACTCAAACTACCTTCTTTGGTAAACTTTGTTTTGATACCATAGCAGACGTACTATTACCTTTGTTATTTGGTTTAGTGATCATCATTATTATTTTGACCTTCACTATGTCTTTTTAACTTGACCTAAGTCTGTTTTCTCATCTCTTAACTCTATTAATTCCATACATATTCCTATGACAATTCCATATTAGTTTGTTTATTAGATATATCACACAGTGAAACAGTATTATTTACTGGATGACGTTTCGAACAAAATTTACTGTTCATAATCATATGACAAGTCTGTGTGATCAGATTGTTTCAAATGTGTTGCGCTAAAACATTACACGATTCATGCAAATTACGTCTTGTTATTGATTTTTCTAAATTCATAAAGGGAACTAAATGTTTTAAATGCTTTTATCTGATCCACAAACTCACCGCCATTAGTTAATTTTTTATATATAAAACTATGTAAACTAGAGTAAAGCCTGAAGATCTAATTGAAAACAATGTTTTTCGCTTATACGTGTTATTTCAGTCCACAAAATGTATTAACCTCAAAGGGGCGTAGAAATAATAGGATTAGTAAGCAATGATAACATTATTTCACCGATCAAATCCCCACAAACCATCACTTGAATGATAACATTACTCAACAATGTGGTAAATATGATGAGGCACTGCAAAAATTACAAACAAAAATAAATGAATTTTAATTTAATTTAATTAATTTAATAATAACAGCTTTATTCCAAACAGTATTTGTAGTGCAGGTATGAAATTTACAGCGTGCATTACAGTATATATT